TAACAATCGCCGGGAAAGTAAAAAAAAAAAAAAAAAAAAAAACTCTAGAGACACCACACAACACATCGATGGCGCCTTCTTCCTCGAGCGGCCTAACCTTCAAGCTCCACCCTCTGGTGATGCTCAACATCTCCGACCACTTCACCAGGGTCAAAACCCAGCTCAATCCTCCACCCTCCTCCTGCGCGAACGGAAATAACCCCAGCTCCGGCGACGCGACGTTCCCGCAAGATTTTAGGGTTTATGGATGCGTGATCGGTGCCCAGAAAGGACGAACCGTTGAGATCTTCAATAGCTTCGAGCTTTTGTTGGATCCCACTACTGATACGCTCGATAGATCCTTCTTAGAGAAGAAGCAAGAGCTCTGTAAGGGTTTTTTTTAAAAAAAGAGTTTTTTTTTTGGTTTATGATTTTGTTTTTTAATTGATTTTGGATTTGGTTTGGGTGTTTTAGATCAGAAGGTGTTTCCTAACTTCTATGTGTTGGGATGGTACTCTACGGGAAGTGAAGCTAATGAATCTGATATGAGTATCCACAAAGCTGTGAGTTTTTGATAGGGTTTTTAGGGTTTTGGAATTGAAAGATTGAATTTTTTTTAGGTTTCGGTGTAGTGATTATGTGAGTTTTTGTTGTGTCTTGTGCAGCTGATGGATATTAATGAGTCTCCTGTTTATGTGCTTTTGAATCCGGCTATCAATCACGCACAGAAGGATCTCCCTGTGACTATTTATGAAAGTGGTAAGCTTTGGTTTTCACTAAGCAAGGTTGCATATAGTAATTTAAGTTTCTGTTTTGCATCTTATTGGATGTTTTGATGGTTTAAAGATTTTAATTTTTTTTAATTTTATCATGTGATGTGATTGTCTTTGGAAATTTTCAAGAATTCCATGTGATTGATGGGATTCCTCAGTCAATTTTTGTGAATGCGAGCTACTCAATCGAGGTATATTCTTAAGCCAGTTGATCTGTGATTATCTAGTAACATGAGAGTGGACTTTTAATAAGTTACAAATTATTTTAACATGTGCAGACAGTGGAAGCTGAAAGAATATCGGTTGATCATGTTGCTCATCTTAAGCCGTCTGATGGAGGCTCAGCTGCGACTCAATGTAAAGCTTTATTGTTCACTTCGTATTTGTCATAATCTTGTGATACGTTTCTATGGAGCTTAGGCTGATTATAAATATGTTGTGCAGTGGCTGCTCATCTTACAGGCATTCACAGTGCCATCAAGATGCTTAACAGCAGAATCAGAGTGCTCCATCAATATCTTGGCGCAATGCAGAAAGGTATATTTTATTCTTGCTCAAGTCCCCCACTCTCTGCCCCTCTTTAATTTGTTCAATTAAGGTTTTGCTATACGGAAAAAGGAATTAAAAGAGTAGGTTAGACGATACTGTGTCAAAAAAAAGTAATTTAGTTTTATGTACTTTAGGTTCTAAGGGTCCCTGTGATTCTAATGACTTTGTGTGATTCTGCATCTAGGTGATATTCCTTGCGACAACTCACTTCTGAGACAAGCAGCTAGTCTACTCAGAAGTCTGCCTGCTGCACAATCAGAAAAGTTTAATGAAGATTTCTTAATGGTAAGTAGTGCCTTACTGTTCCTTAGTTAAAAGAGTGACGTTTGGGTTTCTTAAATTTTTTAATATTTTCTTGGTGTTCTGATTAATCTCTTTATAAATATATATATGACATTTTTTTTTATAAATTTGCAGGAGTACAACGACAAATTGCTGATGTCTTACCTAGCAATGATCACAAACTGTACCAGGTATGTGCTCTATATAGATATTCGATTTAGTAAAACAATGATGGACATGGATGTAAATAGATCACCAGTACTTGCTTTAGGTTGATAATAGGATCGTTTTATTTATCTATGTTTAGAACTAAATCCTGGATCTTGCTCAACCATCTTTGTTATAATTAAGATAGCGAGCCTGTAGGAGCTAGGGAAACATAAACTTCTTTTTTTCTTCCAAAATGTCAACTACAATTAACTTAAATGAATCCTTTCTCTAATTGTTACGCTCACTATTTTGTTCCAAAAATTGCAGCAACATGAACGAGGTGGTTGACAAATTCAACACTGCATACGAGAGGAACAGTCGAAGAGGCGGTAGTAGGACTCCATTCATGTAGAGATTAGTTTCAGCTTAAAACCCTTTTTTGCGGTTCCTAAAAAGAAATCTAGAACTCTTAAGGTATTTCACTGTTTGGAATCTAACAGCTAATGCGTTCTTCTTTTTTGCTAAAGACTGTTTAGACTACAATCTATGTTTAGATTACTTCTATTTTTAGTACTTAAATCATGCGAGTAAGACTTTTGAAAACAAAACCTGCTTTACCTTCCCTTAACATCATCAACTACCGTTTATTCAAATACAAAACAATCCGTGAACAAATAAATAAACTTGTTTCATATTTGTGGTAAAGTACTCATGTCTCTGTATATCAATGAGCTCCTCGAGAATCCAAGTTCCTGTGGTGACACTGGTTCCACCTTCGGCTCTGATGGTAACTGCAGCATCAGCCCAGCTGTATCACCACTTGCAGGTGTTGGCATGCTTAACCTCTCTTGTCCAATATCTAAACCAGATATTGAAAGACCCAAAAGCTCAGTTTCGCCTCCGTAAGCCGAGAAACCAGCCCAAGGAGGTCTCATGGGTGTCTGGAAGTCAAATAGAGATGAGTTGGCTGTGACCATTCCCTCATATCTACTGTGTGGCACTGGGTGGTTTTGTGTGGTCTGAGTCGCTAAACTGCCTTGGGTAGTAGTAGCCCCTGAGCTGCTTGAACTCAGGTGGCTACTGTTGCGTGCTGCTGGTACTTCATGAGTGTGCTTGCCTATGTAAGTGGTTAGTACGGACGTGAGGTCATCAGAAGCTCTCTCCACATGCTTCGTTACGATACATCCACTCGCTGTGCATTTGTAGTAGCTCCTGAAGCATCATCACACAGAAAACATGAAATCTTGGGACAAAAGATGAAACAGAAAAGAGAGAGAGGAGTTTGGACAACAAGAACCTTGGATTAGGGTTTCCTTTGACGACCTTTTGTCCATACTTGCGCCAGCGATAGCCATCTTCGAGTATGTCAACTTCACTTGTGGTCTGCACCACGACCTTTGGCTCACGGTTGGTTCGGGATGCACAAGCTTCGAGTTTCCTGATACAGTGATATGTGAATAGCATCAGTAGTCAGAACGTCTTGTCTTTCTGAATAATTTAATGGTTAGTAGAGCAACTTGTAATGTCTAACCTTCTCTTTGGCTCGGATTCATCTGCTTCCCCTTTGTAACCAATGGAAACATTCATGTGGCACGTGCGATCTTCTTCATTTTTAAAGAAGGCATCAGTTCCTTCATCACCATATCCAAACTGAGGATGGCTTACAGGTGATGTCCATTCTATGTTCTCATTAGCTCCAGCAAAACCTTCTTGTTGTTCGGTTCCATCTATCTGCATGTCATTGCATGTACCAGATGTTCCAATCCCTGAACGGCGGTTAGGTGAAGGTTTCGGGTGATTATGAGTTTTTGCGTATATGATCTCTGTAACATATCCTTCCCTGGACCGTTCAACCTTCTTCTTGACCTCACAGTTAGGGTGTGTGCACTTGTAATAGCTACGTGGATACTCACTTCCTTTTACTAGCTTCTGTCCATATTTCCTCCAGTTGTATCCATCATCTCCAGGTGCAACACTAAGCACCGAGTCTCCTAAACCACTATCATGTGTTTGCTCATAGGCTTGGGAATCATCAGGTTCTAAACCATTGATTGTAGAATCAAAGAACTCATCCTTAGCCTTATGATCTAGAGATAGTGATGAGAGCTTTCCTGTTGTTGGAGATAGCTGCGCTTACAAGTGAAATGGTTGAGAAGTTATTAATGAAGTTACCAAAATAATGAAATGTTTGAGAAGTTACCAAAGGGTTTGAGAGGAAGACAGGAGACTCTAGGAGAGTTTCAGAGCTAACACCATGAGAAGAGAGGTTTAAACATAGAGACCAAAGATTACTCTCATCAGTGTTTATACTCTGTACATTAAACCCGGTTCTTGCAGCAATTCTTTCACTAAGATCACCTCGTGAGTAACTAGATCTCTCTTGAGAGTTGGTTTGGAGAAAATCTTTATCCTTAACGTCTTCTTCTAAAGAAACCTCTCTATCGAGTTCTGCTTTGGATCTCTTCTTGTGGTTAGGACTACACTCTAACCATTCTCCCATTATAGCAAAGTTGTCATTAAAACCAGCCATTTACTAACCCAAGATTCAGCTTCAACTTTGGGGTTTAACCTGAAATGTAATTAAACTTGTAATAAGCGTAAGTAAAATACAAAACTCTTGAGTACAGTATACAACGATGGAGATAAAAAAAAGTGTGGTCACCGTTACTTGATTTATTAACGGATCAATGTTTTTCTTACCAGTTAGTAATGCAAGAGAGATCAAAGAGGGGACTAATTGCTTCTCATCACAATCTTTGCTTCTCTGTTCTTTATAATCACAGAATGAACAAACGGTGAAAAGATGTAAATCGCTAAAAATTACAAGCGAAAAGACAGTTTAGTTAGATAAGTTTTCTCCTTAACTTTCTCATAATCCAAACAACAAAAGTTCAAAAAACAAAATTCTACAACGTATAGAATTCACCAACGGTTTAACTATTTTTAGAAATGTAAACTTTTTGTGGCTTAGAAAAAACCAAATATATACAACATTTAGTTCACTTAAATGGGCCAAACTTGTCATATTGCTTGTGTTTTACACTACTGGATTAACATACATTAACATATATAATTTGTAACATGGTTAACTCTAGTAACAACAAAAACAAAATACGACAAAAAAAATTGTTTGTTTTGATAACATATGTATAGTTAACGATGTGTACTTATTAATGTTCAACTTTAAAGACCTTTAGTTTATTCATTTTCATGTGTGTTGCAGCATTCTTGCAAACTTGGTACCAACCTCCGGCTCGAGGCTACGAGAAGCCTTTCTGATTCTCCCTTTTTACATATTC